ACACATGTAGTTATGCAGAATATTGATTATTAATTATTATTATAAATTATTATGCAATGGAAAATGTCATTTTTCCTGGCACTATCTCATGTTAAAGCAGAAATCCATGAAGAACTATTTAAAATCAAAACTGTCCTTAAGTCCTCCTTTTTTTGGATATAATATGGCAGGGTTAGAACCTTGATGGTAGCTTAGAATCATGTGAGAAGTCCTTCTGCTTGCAGAAATTACACTTGATCCTGAAACAGCACCTAAAGGTGGCCATACACTGTACAACCATCGCAAGACCTTAGTCTTGCGATGGTTGTAAAGTGATTTAAAAAACGTACGATCTGCCCATCTTGGACAGGCAGATCGTACTCTCGATCATCGCAAGCCCGCCCCCCTGAGGGGCGGGCTTACGATGACTGCAATGAGGGGCGGGCTTACAATGACTGCAAACGGGCTGTGTGCGCGTGCGCACACCGGCCCGTTCGGCAGTTGTCGTACCAGCAGGCCACTAACTCGCCGAGAATCGTACGATTCCCGGCGGGTTTTCTAGCCTGCTGGTTTGACGGAAGATGTGCGACCGTACAGTAGAATCGGTCGCACGCCTTCCATACACTGCATGATTGTCGTACGATCGCGTGATTTCCCTCGATTCTCGTAAGAGAATCGTGCAGTGTATGGGCACCTTAAGACAGGGGATCCTGAGTCTCTACTAAGTGGGAGTTTAAGGCAATGCCTCTGAGTTTGTGAATCTGTAGTGCCTCCACCCAGAAGGGTCTTATGACGATTCCCTCTGAAGTACGCAATATCCCAAGAGTACCTCATACTTACACTTTCTATAGACGGAGAAGTGCAGATCCAGACTTGAATGCAGTTTAATTGTTTAATTGTGAACTTGATAGGAGGTAGGACAGGAGAAGGTGGAATACCTCTATGGTCGGTCTCCGACAACTTCTCAGGCTAGATGTCGCTGGGTGGGTCTCAGCATCCAGAAGCATCAAAAAAAAACTTTTTCTGGAGCATATTATCCCAACATAACTGGAGGTTCTTGTGTTTCTCCTTTCCAAGGACGACTTAAACATAGATCAGATTAAACCAGCATGGCCTGGAGGCAAGTTGCAAGTAACAAAATGCTGCCTCTCTTTGCGGTGGGCATCTGCTATCCATTTTATACAATGTATTTCCACCAAATAATGACCCTGCCCCAATTTTAACAAATTCAGTTAATTAAATTCTGTACTCTCTAGCAGGGAACTGATTAGCGATGAAGTACTGCTGCAACTCTCAGTTAAGCCCTTAAGGACCAAGGTCTTTTTTTCATTTTTTTGCACCCATATTATAATCCTCATTGTAGGCCCTTAAAATTACTTAAAACCCACAAACATTATATATTTTCCGAAAGCCAAGACCCTGTAGAATAAAATGGTGGCAGTTGCACATTTTTATGTTGCACGACATTAGCGCAACTTATTATCAAACCCAAACATTTAGTGAAAAATGCACTTAAGTTAAATTTAGTGCCCCAAAACGCTATATAAAACCATTTTCTTTTGTGACATATAAAAGATGAGGTTAGAACGAGTAAAAAAAAAAGCTTTCTTTTGGTGGCATTTAATCATAACTGCGGTTTTTATTTTTTACTATATTAAGGAACAATTATTGAAAATTTTGAAAAAAAAAAGTTTTTTTCTTACATTATGTTATAATACAATTATTATTACCCAATTTTTTTGTAAAATATAAAAGACAGGGTCACGTCAGGTAAATAGACACCAAACATGTTAAGCTTTAAAATTGCGCGCACCCACAAAATCGCAAAAAACGACCATACCCATCAGTGGCAAACAAGACTTTTAAATATGCCCGCTCAGGCAGCTGAGTTTGAAGAGAATTATTTGTTATCTAACTGGTGGGAAACTGATAGGATATTTCCATATCCAGGTATAGCCATAATGCAGATGAACCCTGTCTAGATGTTTTAGGTGTACCATATGATGTTAATGATGCTTGATGATGCTGTGTAACTGTGTGAGATGCCCCGTTGTAGGAGGGACCCTGAACTGGAGGTTGAGAGGCAAAATCTAGGATGTGTGCAATTGTCTTACCCTTACCTGTTGTTAAGATACCTTTTGGATCTTCCCCTACTCTCATTTGTATCTGTGTGCCCCTCCCTCTTGTATTAGTGTCTTGATTGCTGTCGATATTATGCTCTTATGCGTTAACTCATGCTGTACTGACTGCAACATGACAATGTGTTATAACTTTCTAAAAAACCTTAATAAAAATTACTTGATTTAAAAAAAATAAAAAAATATGCCCGCTCAGATCCAGGAAGCTGCCGGTTGCATTACCACAACGGCCGGCCGGGAGGCGTTTAAAGAAGAACTCCGGGCAAATCAAGAACTTACGCTTTCAGTAGGGTGACCCTTGTACTGCAAGAGTTAAATGCTTGTTTTGTCTGGGGGGGCTAAAATAAAGCAGATATACTTACCCGATCCTGGCTCCCACTAGGCTGCTAGACTGGTCCACTTGGCATCTTCTCCCCTGGGCTCTGGCAGTCTATGGACCACTGTTGTCATTACGTCTTATGCAGGCCCATTGACCTGCATTAAATGTGCGGACGCCTAGGGACTTTCTATAGCCACAGAGGAGAGGGAGAGAGGTGAGTGCTGACCACCACAGGACCAAGGATCAGGTGAGTAAAACAACTTTATTTGAGCCCCTAGACAAAACAAGCACTTGATAATCACTCATCCTCATAGTTTTGAGCCGACCTGTGACAATGAAACTGTCACACGTCGGCTCAATAGATCGGAAAGTGAATGAACGCATACCATCGCTCACTCACTTCTTGATCATCTCCCTGCAGAGAGCAGTGACTGTCAGTCACGGCTCCCTGCAGGGATTCACCCTCTCCCCGCTCCGATCCTCCAGCGCTGACTGGAGGAACGGGAGGGGGCGGGGACAGCTGTCTCTGCTTCTAGATAGGCAGAGCCTGCTGTCACTCACGCAGCTGGGTGGATCTCGACAGCATTGTCGGGATCCGTCCCGGCTGCAGCGTTCTCAGTATACTGCGAGCTTTAGCTCGCTATATACTGAGCTTTGGGTCACAGGAGGATGCTAGTGAATGTCCTCCCGTGATCCTTAAGAGAACTATGGGGAAAACACTTACCCCATAGTTCTCTTTTAACCCTTGCAGCTCAGGGGTAGCTCCACTGAAAGGCTGTTATTTTCTTTACCCAGGGTTCTTCTTTAACTACTGAGACTGAAATGGCCCCTTAATTAACTACACATGCCGCTTGCATTGTACACAATATATGACATTGTGTTTATTTGTACAGAGTTTTCAAGAGCTGGAAAACCAGAATGATGTAAGAACGTCCGGGATTTCTTAAGGAATGTTGGTCTTTCTGTCTCTGCATCATTATTTCCTGGGAATTTCCCCATCTGTCCTTTGCCTTGGCCTCTACATATCTGGAGAAAGTCCAGCTTTAACTTCAGCTGGATTTATTGTTCATACACATGCCTTGCCAAAATAACTATCATTGACGAGGTGTTTAAAACAGAGGAAGCAAATATTACTCTTCGCTGCACATGCCTGTTATTTTGTATGTTGTATCACCGAGTACTAAAGAATGTTAGAAATAGAATGATAAATTGAAGCAGGTCATATTTTGCAGAGCGCACACTTCTTTGCTTGTATTGCTATTATTCCTTTCCTTTTGTACATTTATTATTTTTTAAAGCTGAACTTGGCACTGCCCCTCTTTAAGTCATATTTATTAAGAAAAATATTAGGCGCACTCTAAATGGTTGCTGCGCTGTACCCGCAAAAGGTTGCAATACACTGTCATAGCTGCGGCTACTACATCACAATACAGGATCCCTGTGGCCTTGTCAGGGATCATTTATACGTACATTCACCAGATTCACTGGGCTGCCTGATTGACAGTTGACTTCACCTCTCATGGGCCAGAGACGGCGGTGCCTGCTGTCTGCAGGGGGCAAACTGTGAGCTGAGTCATCATCAGATACATGATTGCTCAGGTCTCGGTATATAGAGCCGACGTGTGACAAACTCTGCAAGCCTTGTTTCTATAATTTTCCTTTATGCTTCCTTTGGTTATAGAAAGTACTTGAAAATTCCTGTAAAAAAGACCCAGAGAGAGCACCTGTGGCTGACCCCTCGGACCATTTTGCCAGCCTGCGTGGGACCGACTGAGACTCATCTGCTGTGGTTAGGGGCCTCTAGGTCATTGAATTTTGTTTCCTGTTCCATGGGATCATTCTGCCTCAGTGGGATTGCCTTGAACCACTTTCTTTGGGAGCTTGACAATACCTTCAAGTTCCCAAAGCTAAAAAGACTCCAACTAAGGGCCCCAATGCTGGCAGGACTCCACATAGCAATACTTTGGCAAGTAGTATAGGGAGGGTTGCTGGTTACCATTAGTTGGTTTAGCTGGGTAACCTTAATATTACAGTGATATAATCAGATAGTTACATTTCAGTATATTGTTGTACGTTTGCCTTTATTTATATACACTGCACCGGTGTTCCCACTTCCAGTCACTGTATTGGTGGTAAAGAGTGTTTGTTTTTTGCTGTGCCATTTTGCTATTTGGTCTCTCCATTTAAAAATGGCTTTTACCTTTCAATCAAGCCAGTTTTACTCAACAAGATGTGCCAGTGGCGTGGGTTAGGTTTGGAAGGGTCAATACTGGAGCGTGACAGTGGCTCCTTCAGGGGTAAGCACATTTTGTTTTTTTTACAAGCTCGACAAAAGCATTTGATGCAGAAATGCTGGTGATTTTTGGTCACAAATCTAGGTGTTCAGGAATGTTCTGAGTCTTTTAGGATCCTACAAAAATACCTGTCTGCATAAGGAAAACCTTATGAAAATAACTGTGCCCTCAAGACATACAGAATCCCATAGATGTACAGTAAATTATTGAAAGTCATGAAGTTGCCCTTTAAATCAGTTTTGTTTGTCAGAGCCCACTTTATTATGGCATTTAACAGACATGTTTACGCTGATTCTCTCTCTTTCGACAGCAAATACAAATGATAATGCAAACCAGCAAACAAAACAAAATCAGTGATGCAGATACTATTAGAGCCAGTTTCAGCATTTTCAGTGTGGCAGAAGGGACAGTGGAAGGATTTGATGCAGAGATGCTGGTGATCTTTGGTTTAGTGGTGGCCTGTCCACTGGATGTGTTGCTGGAGGGTTTAGCTGTGGTGGTGAACTTTGGTTTGTTGGTTGTAGTTGTTGGAGAGCTGATTTTACTAGTGGCTTTGGTAGGTAGCACAGTCGGTAAAGGTGGAACATTGTAGAAAACAGATTGTGCAATGTTCGATACATCAGATTTCTGAGATGCTTTGTCAATGGCAATTATGGCAAAAAAAATGGCAGTGTGGTTCGGTATGTTAAGATTTTCAGGTATAAAAGTAAAACTTTCTTTTGATCCAGCAGGTGATGGGATGAGACTAGCAGTGTTCACTAGAGTGCTGCCTTCAAAGTTCTCTTTAATTCCCCTTAGGTCAGTGTTCATTCTTAGTTCATATCTTGATGCTAAAAATATTAGAAATATTGTGTTACGAAAAAACTAAGAGTACATAAGTACAGAATAAATAAAAATGTATATCTTATTATTTATATATAATATATATCAACTAATATACAATCTCTTGCTATTTCTCGTTCGCTCTAGGCGCCATGGTACCTATTTATTATTTATATATATTATATATCTACTGATATACAATCTCTTGCTATTTCTCGTTCGCTCTAGGCGCCATGGTACCTATGGCAGATTGCTAGAATTACAGTTTCAGGTATCCTTGGTAACAAATCTGTTTGTGACATGAATCTTAGAGAGCCCAAGCATCATGAAATGGTTCTGCTAATGGAGGACAGAATAAGGAAGGATTGAATGTTCAAATCAAACAAATGTTATCCTGTTACATCTATGGAGCAGGAAAGCATGTGTCGAGAGTCCCAGCAGTGCTTATCTTGAGGGAAACAATGGTAAGTGGGCAAGATTATCTGCCTGATTACAGTGTCCTCTGAGAATTGTCATTTTGGACTGTTGGAGGTTGACTATAGCCAGAAAATGAAAGATTGTCATATGTCTATGGGCATCTTGAGACCAGATCTGCAACTATGAATATTTTACCCTATAGCAGTCATGATGTGGCCCTCTTATACTCATCAGTATTGGTTATTTTGTGGCACACACAGCATGACATCAGTGTAGTCCTTACAAAAAGTTCTGCATATGCCTGTGTTCCAAAGAAATGCTAAATGAAGAACAACATACTGTTCTTTATACACCTTAGAATACCTAAAAGAAACCTTTTCCTGCAGGATGTGGGGAGAAATGCTAAATGTAGAACAACATACACTAGAATACCTAAAGAAAACCTTTCCTGTGGGATACATTGGGGTTCTCTTTGCCAATACTCTTCTAAGGATGCGAGTTGACTGGCTACTATACTGAACGGCTAGACTTAAAAAGGGTTTTGATACTATCCTGGAACAAGTATGTAAACCTGAAAAGTCTGTCATCCTGCTCTGAATGCTTGTTCCAGGCAAGAGACTGGAAGAACTGAAGCAAGCGGGTAAACATGATGGCCAGGAAACTTAAATTTGCAGATTGAGAAGTATCAATGGCATTCTCCATGTCTTTCTCAGGAAAAGTTTGCATTAATGCAACAGCCTACATATGTTGCACCCTAACTCATAGAGGGCAGAAAGAGTAATTGTAATAAACTTTGTAGTTTTATTATTTTACCTTGTCCTTGGTCTAAATCATCACCAGTTGCTGTCCATGACAATACATTCCTGCGTTCCACTAATCGTGCCTCTAAATCAGATATTTTCTCTGGTCTGTAAATATCTGGCTGTGCTCCTGTTGGAACATTGGATACCAGAAAAGAGCCACCAGAAGCTGTCCTACTGAATGGTCCAACATCAACCTGAAGATCATCATCATTCACTGGAGGTTTTGGAGGGTTTATAAAGATGTTGCCTAAAGTAAACATGTAAGTAATTTATTTGAAGTCTACTACAAGAAGACAGATCAGTATATATTTTTTTCTTCTTGGCCTACCTGCGGCACATAAAAACCTTTGCTCCTTCAGTGCTACTTTTTTTCTCTCATGCCACCTAAGCTCAGAAAGCAATGCTCAGATCAGTAGCTTTGAACTAGTAGTCTACACATTTATCTCAGCACAGGTTCCTTTTACATGCCTATAAAAGTGATGGCAAAAAAAGGCCAAATGGTCCATAGACCATTTTTTTCGTTTCGTTTTTTTAAAAAGATTTTTCTTTGAGGTAATATCAATGTTTGCCCAAGCATTTTTACATTCACTTAATGTTAATTGACTCACTGGGGTTGATTTACTAACCTTATAAACACACCACGAACATGTATACACCTCTGTAGTGTGTTCCCTCCCAGCATGATCTATGGGTGGAATCTAAACACCTTTGTAGTGTGTACACACCCAGCAGGTGTGTTGTGCAAAGCCCTGCCCTGAATTGCAAGGTGATGTTGTGTAAATTAGCTCTACATTGTGTTGCTTGCGTTGATGAATGCAGGAATGTAAATGCATTAGCTAACCATTTTTGTCTAAACTGTGAAGCAGCATTATATATGCATCATGTGCATGATTTTTCCATATATGGCATTAGTGGAAATATGCTTATAGAGACTTTTTGGTTGATAAATACGCTTTGCTGTGTAAAAATCACACGCACCTGGTGCGTGCGTGTGTTTAGGTTAGTAAATCACCCCCACTATCTCAGATGGAAGTCTGTTCCAGGTATCCATACTCTTGTATGGATAATCTTGTTTCTGCAAGCTTCCACTCAAGATGCTGAGCCTTACCACCACACTTGTTGCTAGCACTTGCCTTGGCCAGAAAGCTGCCCCAACACTGGCTCATTCCATCACAGATCATCTGATATTTCAGAAGGACAGTTGACTAGTGTTCTCAATCCAGCAGTCCATGCATTTACCCTATAACGTTCAGTTGCTGGAGCAGACCCTAAAACCTTCTAGTACATACTGAAAACGTTCTCCAGGGGGATAAGGGCTGTCAGTTTTTTAAACATTAGCAGTGCTGATGCTTACTTGACCACCGTCATTTGGAAGCAAATATTATATACAACATTATTCTTGCTATAAATTATAGCTGAGTTTGTTTACAAGCCTAACACATTTGACATTCAGTTAAGAGTTGATGAAAGAGAGAGTTACTCCTTTATCAAGTTAATATATATGAGGCTAGTCTGAAATTATACAATTCAAAAAAGAATTCTGAAAGCACCAGTACAAGCTATGAAAGGTTTTAATAGTAACATTGGGGATAATCTAATATAACCACCATATAGAAATCCCAGAAGGCAATGGATTTTGTTTATTTTTCAGTGATATTTTTAGTCATTATTAGTGGGCTTGACAATCGGGTGAAATATAAGGGGGTTGTTTATTTTGGTAACTGAAAATTCAGTGATGATACAGACTAATTACTTTTTTATACTTCTATTAATTGCATAATTTTCAATAATTACTTAGATGAAAGAAAACTAGATTGCTACAGCTGTGTGTAAATGTTTTTTTTTGCTATTTTATTTTTCCAGGGTAGATAGAGACCATTAGGAAACCAGTCTGTGATGGTACATCGATTGTTAACCAGAAAACCATATGTTAGTATAGAGGTTGCATTTTCATCTAGAGGAACTGGTGGCAGAATTATTTGGAATTGGGAATTGTGTACCTGAACTCACAATGTGCCCTTCTGTTAGCATCCTGTATTTAATAAAATGAAATAGCACATGGTCATGTAGGTGTGCTGTGTTGTCAGTGATGTAATTGCTAATGTTTGGACTTACTAAATCACTATGAGGGAATATAAATATTAGCAATATACAAAGTGCACTCGTACAGTGTGAGCTCTTCAACTGCAGATGTTATTAAATGAGGGGTCCAATTAAATGAGGCTGTCAACTTCACTGCTCAGCAGCCATATCACTCTTGAAGCCTGGCAGAGTTTCCAAAAACCAATAAATAAACCTGCTCATCCAAGCTATTCCTAAAAAGAAAATTATCAGCTCTACCTGGCCTCCAATACAACAGAGCAATTCACAACACACAAAAGTAACTTTGAACTATGCATCAGTCTTACAAGCCTCAGGTATTCCAACATTATTTATATCCTGCCCATCTGTAGCCGTTTTGTAACCTGTGGATGATTCTTGGCCTGGGAACCCATCCAACCTAATCTCTATCCAGACTCCTGCATTTACATATACTGAAAGGGCATTTGTTTTGAAGCAATTCACTTTCTGACATAATTTAATTATTTGTGGAACCATCAATCACCTTTCCCATTACTATCTAACGCTTTTGCACATTTAATAAAGAGGGCACCAAGATCTTCTGCTACCTAACCTTTTGCTTTGTGTATGTTTGTCTTTGAATACTAACTCTGTCTAACATGTATGTACATTATACAGTATATTTTTTACAAGAGTGCCTACCGCGATCATTGTAACCAGGTAAATAAAGAGATCGGTTCCTTCGCACTGTTAAACGGCTTTTGTTGTCTTCTCCTATGGCTCGAACTTTTAAGCTGTATTTTCCGTTTGTAGTAAAATGAGTGAAATATCTTGAATAAATCCCATCATTCTTTGCTGCATCAGGACCTTAACATATCCAAAAGAATAAAGAACAGTTATAAGCAAAAATACATAATGATTAAAGTATTAGCAAAGGTAGATGTTGATGACAGGATGAGAGGTGTGAAAAGGTGTGGAAACAGTCTGTTCTAGTAACATAATCCTATCCTGGGTTTGTCAGGAAGTCTGTGTATGTGTTAAACCTTCAATTTACAGAAGTGGCTTGGATAAGCTATGAAAACATCTACAATATTATAGAACAGGCTCTGTTAAAGGTGACTACTAGCTACAGTATATCATGACCTAGATAAATGAGAACCTTCACAGACAAGTAAAATGCAGTAACTCATGGGGGATGATTTACTAACCTAAACACACGCACGCACCAGGTGTGTGTGATTTTCACACAGCAAAACGTATTTATCAACCAAAAAGTCTCTAAAAGCATATTTCCACTAATGCCATATATGGAAAAATCATGCACATGATGCATATATAATGCTGCTTCACAGTTTAGACAAAAATGGTTAGCTAATGCATTTACATTCCTGCATTCATCAACGCAAGCAACATAACATAGAGCTAATTTACACCACATTACCTTGCAATTCATTGCAGGGCTTTGCACAACACACCTGCTGGGTGTGTACACACTACAAAGGTGTTTCGATTCCTCCCATAGATCATGCTGGGAGGGAACACACTACAGAGGTGTATACACGTTCATGGTGTGTTTATAAGGTTAGTAAATCAACCCCTCGGTATCAATCTGCAATTGTTTCTAGTTTTTATTGCTGTTATATTTGGAAGGAGCACCTAGCAAAATAGGGCATGTGGGAATCTCTGGGGGATAAGCAATATCTTTATCATAATTTCTTAATTCAAAAAATAAAATAAAAATGAGGGGAAACAGCATTTCAGAAACAGTGGCTGGAAAACAGGTAGGGTTCAATATATAAATAAATCAATATATAAATCTTTCACCCAGCCATACACTTTGCGAATGCCATTTGCAAGTCATTCCCACCACTAGATGCAGCCAAGGAGCATAGCAAATTCCTATTGTTGTGCTCCTCAGCTCCATGCAGTAGTGGGAATGCCAAAGCCAACTGCATTTGCCCAGTAAAAAGGTTTTGGCCCGCTCTGAGATAAAACTTAGTTTTATCTAAGATGGTTTGTGGTAAAACATATAAATTATGTGAAAAAGATAAACCCAGAATGAGATACATATGGGAAGAACACCAAAGAGATTGTAGACATTTTTACATTTGGGCAATAGCGTAACAAAACGGAGGCCATTGAAAAGGGGACCTGGATACAAGATGAACAAATGTGGATCTTCGCACTGAATTATAGAAATCTGAACCCAAAAAAAAGAACGCTTGGCATCTCCCATTTATAAACCAATGATAGTGGGGCAAGATTTGCAATATTATGTTTTCCAATAACATCTATAAAGGGTATAAGTTATATCTCTCTCTTTTTCATTCCATGACAGCATGACACCATCACAACAATGTATGTCATATTGTCACTGATAGGGGACTTCATCTATAAGTACACAGTATTTACCATAACGAAGCCAAGAACCTGGTAAAACATTTTGTAAAATGGACTATTGAAATAGGTAAATAGGTATTTTAGTATAGCTCCCGTACTATAGCAAGCTACAAGGTCCATGTAAAAATCGAAGGACAAAATTTAGTTTATCGACAGAATTCCAGAGAGTTCTCTAGAGATTGGGGCATTTCAACTTCTTTTTGTATTGTTCACATTTTTATTCAAAAAAGTAACGAAGGTATAATGAAATATTGAAAAAGATAACAGCAACAGTTTTCAATTTTCAAGATTTCCAAATTTTCAAACAACGGATAAAACAAGGGACAATACATGAAATAAAGGGGAGGAAGAAAGAAGGGTATCTGTAGTAAGTAAAAGCTGGAAATGCAAGGACAATATATCATTGATAAACATTTTAGGAGGTGTTTGATCTGATATGGTAGTAAACAGTACAATTTACAGGCCATATAATCATCCATAGATACATCCAAAGCCATTTTATACATAATATAAGGGAGTAAAGGGTAGAAGAAAGAATCCAAGAAGGAAAGGAGGAGAAGAGAGGGACATTTCAACTTCTTATTTCTGTGTGGTTGTATAAATATATTTTTATGAGATTAACATTTCTGTTAATAATGGAAAAAGGGGAAAACAATTGTGTTAATGACTGTACATGTACATGTACAAACTGTATCTAATGGTAAATGTGACCCTAATCATTGCTCATTCTACTGCCTTATTAAATATCCTGGTTAGTCAACACGTGCTTATTACTACAGCTCTTACAGTAGTAAAATTACCTGCCCCATTGTCAAAAAGCTCTAGAGTCACTGGCTGCCCACTTTCTGGTTCAATAATGGCCATCACTTTTGCTCCAGTCACTGGCAGTAAACCTTGTCTTACAGAAGCATAGACAACCATTGGATTTGGATAAGTGTTTGTATTTTGATTCATGTGACAGCTTGCAAGAATTGGTGGCACATCTTCGCCAGCTGCTTTGGATGTCACGGTTATGCCTATAGCTTGGGTTGATGTAAGTGAATTGCAGAGGCTGTAATCCCAGCGTCCTCTCTAAAATTAAAATTGTTATTTTAGTTTAACATTGTTTATAGTTTGATTAAAAGGGCAACAAATCAATATTTCTTACATTTTGTACCTCGAAAACTGTATTCTTATTCCTCAAACATTGGTTAGGTAGTCAGCCTACCTAAGACAATAGATTAAATTGTTCCTTATATTTATAGTTATGTGGTGTGGTCAACTGATACTGATTAAAGCAAATAATGAAATGTTTTTTCAACCAACCTTTTTAAAGCAAACTAGTCACCTTGTTGAAAAGTAATAAAACATGGGCAGGTTGTAGAAGATGATTAATATTTACCTGTCTTGTTAGTGATAAGTCAAAATATTTATTTTAAATGAACACAGTAGTGAGGGGAGAGGTCTCACAGCGTGCCATGGAGGACACTCCATCTGACACACCCTGAAAGGTCAGATAGCAGCAACATCCGTGTCTCTTGAAGAAAACAAAGATTTGACTTGCCACCCACTGGATTTCCCATCCAGTGGGTGGCAAGTCAAATCTTTGTTCTTCTTCTTCTTTAACAGGCTTCCTATGTTCTATTAATTTTAACAAGGTGACAGGTCGCTGTAATGTTGGTATTATGTTATATACAAGGGGCGTCAAAAGGAAATGCCTGTTATTTCATATCTGCTGTTTATGTGAAGGTATAATAAAATGGCTGAACTTATGATATATGTCATACATATGGTCTGACTCAATCATTGTGTTCTTCTATTTTTTAATTGTACCAAGTGAATCATAGATGAGAGGTTTAACAAAAAGCGGTAGTTGAGTTTCTGATGAAAAAGTGTTGTTCGGCTATTGAAATACATACATGCCTGAAAATTTTTATAGTAATGCAGTAATTGACGTGAGCAATTTCAGTTGTTGGGAAAGAAGTTTACAAAGAGAGAAACTGAAATTGTTGACAAGGCATTGAATGGAGCCATTCAAACTCTCATCGTCCAATGAAATTCAAATCTGACAGATCAGCACAAAAAGTCATGACGACCATTTTCTGGGATGACCAAGGCATCATTTCCATGGACCTTTTTGGATAAAGGCGCAACAGTCAACAGTGAAACCTGCGGAAAGTTAAAAGAGCTCTGAAGTAGTGGAGCAAAGAGTGATCTGTAGAGCAGAGACTATTTGTAAGGGTAACTTTGAGTAGAGGGATTTATAGGCTAACTATATGTATGTTCATTGGTTTCATCTTTGCATAATTAAACATTCAATATCTCAACAGGCTTTCATTTATGATATACCCTCATAACTTTCTTGGTGTCAAAACAGGCTCAGGATCTAAGAGTTTCCAGACCATATATTTTTAGGATCTTTTCATCTCATAGGGTCACCATACAGGTGTCAATATGATCGTACGATCTTTGTACAATCAACTTTAGATTTAACAAAAACTATCTAATATCAGGACCTACCTAATCTATCCAATCAATTTGTATTCATAAGGCAAGCCCTTGCACTACATAGTTGTTGGTAGATCTAAAGGAGATTGTATAATGAGTGTAATGTGTGTTGTAAGCTTAAAATGTACACCTATTCAAACTTAGAACAATTCAGATGGAGCGTACATGTCCGTGCGGCATGTACACCCGTAAACTTCCAAGTGCGGACATCCGGATCCGCACGGATGTGCAAATTCGGGTATGCAGATGACAGTGTACTGCCTCGTCCTCAGATAGGGAAGAAAAGCCTGCTGTGTTCAATTACATGCAGCACCTGTCCCTCCTGGACCGGGCCGGGTACAGTCATGCATGCCGCAAGGAAGTGTATGCCCCCTCAAAATGAGGCCTTAAAGTTAACATTTGCTTTGCCAATATAGGGCAAAACAACAGGTTTTCTTCGATTTCCACCACCCTCCTCCCAGCAGTGTGTACTCTCTTTTTATGGACTTTCTCACTGCTCTGCTCAGCGGGTGTGAGTGATGAAAAACCTGGAACTTCCACGAATAGAGAAGCTTGTGATTCTCTCTATGCCTTAGCCCTGGGCCAATCTATAAGCACAATCTATAGGCACACTTTTATAGCCCTGGGCCAATCTGCTGTCACATAGGTAAAGTTTATATCCCTTGTGGGGGTATAGCTCGAATGGGGGATCACCTTCCCTGGGAAAAAACAGTCCAGGCAGCAAAGTTCTTTTTCTCTCTGAACACATCCAACATGTAGCTCTCTCAGAAGGCTGTCTGAGTCCCAGGCCAGAGCAAAACCATGTCTCAGCCTTCCCCTTTTATCTCACCTGGACAAGCACTCATCAAGCAATCAACTATCCAGGTGAGACACAAAGCCCGAGCTGGACTATCCAGACCCAAAGTCAAAGCGAAACCCTGGTCAGGGTTCCGCTATTCGTGCACATAGGATAGAAAGCGAGGGGAAACATACCGCCCCTCAATGATGTCCCCTCTCCTTATGTCACACCCTCTGTAAGCTACAACTTCAGCAACTCCTAGATTACATAGGACAGCTACTGCTGCTCCCAGCAGTTAACAAGAAGAGTGTGGAAAGTCACTAAGAGACTAGACATTTTAAGAAAAAGGGAAAAATATATATTAGTGGTTAAAAATTAGTAAGTGCATTTTAATGTTCTTATACTTTAGGTTTCCATTTAGTATCTTGAATCCTTGGTGTCAATGGGAGAAATTATGTCCTGTGATTTTTGTCAGTGGGTGGGATTATGCCCAATACCATTGGTAATAGTGGGAGCAATAGTGTCCCATGGGCCAAATAAAGGGCTACAGTACAGGGAACACTGTTATAATAAATGCCATTGCTTTGACATTGTAATACCAAGCAGAACTTTAAGGACACAAAGTTAGCCTTTCTCACAATTGTTATATTTTCTTTTTTTTGATACAAGGGAAATGTTTACAAGCATTATAATTCTGTTTTTCTAGCTTTGAAGCCAAGATAATGACTAACATTTACAGAATAGTGCCTGTGTGAAAATTGGTTGGCAAGAGTCAGTTTCCTGTGAAGTTTACTTTTTATATAGAATAAAGCACATTTCATCACATTACCTCTGCTGTTCCTGGGAAGTGGATCTTTGCCAGCTTGGAACTTTCATCACTAGTGAACCTAGATGAGTCATAAGTCATTCCTTTTGGGTCTTGTAAATGAATTATTGGGATTTTAGTTTGCCAGGTGACAAGAAAGAATGTATCATTCCCCACTGTTCTGTCAATAAAAATGGTGCCGCTCAAGCATGCTGATGGTTGGAGGCTCTCGGCCATGCTTTCCAGCTGTTAAAATGCAATGTTAATAAAACAAAGTTTATTGAAATACCATTTTATCACATTTGCTACAGATGGTATTAAGAGAACATCCACGTTTTAGCTGGTGCCAACATATACAGCATGTGGGGCTTAAAGGTCAACTCTAAGGTCATCTAACAGATGGGGATATGTGAAGTGGTTGTAGTGACTGTAGCTTTTAGATTTGAATGCATCTTTCTGATCTGAAGCCCAACTGTAACCAGACCTTTTTTCTTAGTGCTGGGCAGAGCTTGAAAGTCAGGTTTTTATTGTGGTCTGTCTCCCTTTCAGGAGGATATGCTCTCCCTTTCTGCTGGTACAGGAAGTGATAGGGAATCTCTCATGGGGGGGCTGCAGACTGCAAAAAAACACAAATTGGTCAGTAAAATAGGGAAGGGTTAGAACCTCCGTCAAGGTATTATTACTGTCTGTACCTTCTTGTGCCGATGACACCCATTCCCCTCATTTCTTGTTTTGCTTTCACAGGATGTCAGTGGAACAGGAATTGAGGTGAAATCTCCTCAACAGGGTCAGGGACAACAAATACACATTTTACAGTATTTTGAAAGTATTTACTTTTTTTAACGTCATCCAAAACTAAGAAAAAAAAGTATTGACTGGAGATGAGAATTCAAGCTAGGTTGTTTCCAATGATAAAAAAACAAACAATGCTACCTAGAAAACAAGACTGCAAAAATACTGCTGTCTGTGCTACGTAACTCTGCTCCATTGCTGCGGAATCTCCCCCAAAAATCCTTTGGGTAAACCAAGAGTTCTGGGAGTGTCTACCTCTGTGCCCCGGCAGTACTCAGTGGTTCGTGTGTTCGCCGAATACACAAACTGTCAGGGCGTCCCTGGAAAAGCTCCCTTCCAGTGCCGAGGGCATGTAGCCTGGTATCGCAGGGAGGAGGGGTGCTCGCTCGTCCCCCCCTTTCCTGCCCTGCCAGGCCTGTGCTTGTATCAAGGGTCTCATATGGAATTTTAGGGGGGACCCCACTGTCTTTTTGTCCCCATTTTTGGGGAGCGGGGTTCCTCCTTAAAATTCCTAACAGACCTTAAGGGACTGGTATGACTTTGAGGGGGAACCCCATGCCTTTTTTTCTTTTTCTTTTTTTTTTAAATGGGGTCCCTCCTAACTTTCCTACCAGACCTAAAGGCTCTGGTAGAACTTTTGGGGGGAACCCCATGCTTTTTTTGTTCCATGGGGTCCCTTCTAACTTTCCTACCAGACCTAAAGGGTCTGGTATTGTTTGGGAGGGAGAACCGCATGCTTTTTTTTTTTCTTTTTAAATGTCATTTATTTCTTTATAAATGTCACTTTTTGCTGCAGCAGGTTCTATACATTGTACAGATCCGCCACTTCACAGGCAGTTTAAGGGGACCCCCCAGTCACGATATTTAAAGGAATTTTTCATTTTTATTGTTTCACTTTAAGTGATGTTAAATCATTGCTCCTTCAAAAACAGTATTTTTTTAAAGTTTTTTTTTCATTGATATATGTCCCCCAGGACAGTAGTCGAATCCCCATACACTTTTTATGGACAAATAATTTCAAAAAGGGGACAATTGATTTTCAAAGTTCTAGCCCCATAGACTTACATTGAGTTTGAGTTCAAACTTTTTCCATGTTCTAAAGTTCGAATTCGAACCGAACACGGAGGTGTTCGGCCCATTACTATTCAAGACTTGGTAGCAAGCTAAGCTGCATAAATGTTAACAAATGGGGAGTAGGGGAAAACTTGTCACATGACCTTCTTAGGTTCACCCACCATTGAGTGTTCTCTGCAACATTATGAAGACTACACACCCCTGGACATCAGAAGCTCCACACTGCAGTGTGAAATATTTCCAGTGATGTCCTGTGGATGGTGATGAGAGGACAACATCCACGTTTACATGTTGGCCCCTTAGAATTGGTTTTATATTTTGTGCATACCTATTTTTAATATACAAGATTATTAGACATGTAACCCTGCAAAAAATTGTTTAGTTTTGGATCAATTTGGGTTTTTGTTTATTTCCTTTTTCTGATTTTGGATTAAAAATTGTATTTTGTTCGTTATCCGGATTTCGGATCCGTCCCAATTTTCATTTTAGAAGGAAATCACATGACCGTGACTGTAATACAACCGCCAATAACCTAAAAAAAACCCCCATCTGATTGGCCAGAGAACAATCACATGTCTGATTTAGTTTCGTTTTGAACGAAATTGGGATGGATCCGAATTTTTGTTAAAGGACCATTTGGATTCGTTCGCATTCAGACTCGCTCAAATTCAGAAATTTGGATGCATCCAAATGTCCGAATTCAACGAAGTTCATATGAATTTTCATTCCGAACAAAACAAAATTTACATGTCTAAACATTGTTTTAGTATTTACCAAAACAAGTTTGCCACAAAAGTTGGTTTCTTTTGCAGGCTCTTTTGATGACATTATTTTATTCAAGTATATCTAAACCCAAGAATAAAAATGTAATTTATTGCAGCTTATCAGTCCTGACATGGGGTAGCTGCATGAGTTTTCTTTTTTTTAGGTCAAGAACAATTTTGGCAAATACAAAAAATACCTGTTGATCCTGATTTTACTGGCAGGTTCACCGGGTGAAAAAAAATTAAAAAAAGCATTATGAAGGAGACTAATGCAGCCACCACATCTAAGGAGAGGTAAGCTGCAATATATGAGTTTGATTACTGATTTTAGATACACTTTAAATAGTAAAATCTGCCAAGACGTACCTGGGATAGAAATAATAGCTGTAAAATATAGCTGAGGTTTTGTAGTATGTTCAGCAAGTTCAAACTATTGATTTTTGAGTCATGCATTTTATTACATTACCTGGACAGCTTGTTCAGATTCATGACCGTTTTGAGCTAAAGCCCCAGTGAAGGCACCAATCAGGCCATTAGTGTCCAGATTATCGGAAGCGGAAAACATTAACCCTCCTGAAAGAACAAATTGCACCATTAAATGGCTTTGTGTTATTGACAGGTCACTATTAGACATGATACATGATTTTAACAGCGCACCAGTTGTGTCTGTAAGAATTTGAAGCTTTTTCTCTGCATATGGTCCAAGAGCTATAACATGTATGATGGATCCACTGTCTGCTATATCAGGAATGCATAGTCTCGTATCGAAATTGTCTTCTCCATCCGTCAGTAGAACTATTTCAGTGCCTTGTGCTGAGCCGTGTAGGTTTTTATTCACCTGAATTGGGGAATAAAGTTACAAAAGGGTTACATGAGTACATTTTTGTCACAAATGACCGAACAGTCAGAATTTTATTTCATACTGTAGAAGCATAGCACCTTTCATCCTGGTATTATCTCAAGGAAGCTGCAATCAATCCTCTGAAATAAGTGAACCCAATTTATGTTTTTCCCCAGTATCCTTAAAGGAGAACGATGAGGTGAGTGAATTACACTCATCCCCATAGCTAGAGCCGACATGTGACATTGAAACTGTCTCACGTCGGCCCTATTGATCGGGAAGTGAGCGAAAACATACCGCCGCTCACTCGCTTCCTAAAGAGAACTATGGGAAAAAAGGTTACCCCATAGTTCTCCTTTAAAGTGTATGTATAGGAAATATTTGTTCTAGTTTTGGATGGAGTGTGGAAAGGTTAGAACCTCTCATTTCACTCTTTGTATTTGTTCTATTACCATTGCCATTGAGACAGAAAATGATGGAAGTTCAAAAGTTTACGGTTGTCACAACAATGGGGATACCTGTTTGGGTGACAGCTGTCTAAGAAGGGATTTCCCCTTATTTTGAAGAGATTTCTTCCCCCTTCCTGCTATGTCTCCAGGGCAGAAAGTAAAGAGAAATTTCCAAAATAGGGCATTAGCAGGAAAAATAAACTGAATTTCCTTTAGACAGCTCTCCAAGGGAAAACAGCCGTGGGTGGGTTAGTATCATGAATCAGCTTTGGATACAAGTAGAAATATGGTGTAAAGAGTGTATAATATCCAGTAATGTTCTTTATTAGCAGGCTTATACAGTAAAAAAAAAAAAAAAGGCCAATGCTTTTAGGGGTTCAAGACCCCCCTCTTCATCAGGGTTACAAAAAGATAATGTAGAAAGATACAATTAATTTACAATTAGGTTGCAAGCTTATGGTCAGAGTATATGACCGGTTAGGCCTCATTCACACTGCCGCGTATATATACGTGCGTACGTGCGTATTGTACCATATGCAACACATGCAAATAAATGGCTACAAACACATAGCCGCGTATGGAGCCGTATATTTGAGTAGCGTAAAAATGCGCAAAAACAGAATGGAACCGAGATGCGTCCGGACAGCGTATTTCTGCGTATTTTACGCGCATACGCATGTTTATGCGTGTACAATTCATTAACATTTCTATTAGGAATGATACATTTTGGGAATACAAATAGTGCACGCATATACGCACGTACGCTCGTATATACGCGCATATACGTTCGTATATATGCGCATATACGCGTATATACGCAATATACAATTTTGCTTGCGTTGTGTGTGAATGAGGCCTTAGTGTCATAAAAAATTAGCTTACTGTAGTTATACGAAGATTATATACAGCATAGTAAATGGACTATGACTTTTCAAAAACATACCATTGTGTATACTGTAGATTAAAATATAATTATAGTAGAACCACAAAAAAAATGGGATCAAGAAATCTTGGGCACTCTAATAGCCATAGAAAGAAACGTAATAGAAGCACTGAGTACAAGGTAGTAGCAGTAGTGTAAGAGGTAATCACTTAATAATGATTGAGGTAAATAAATAAATACAAATATATAAAAAAACAGATCTAAATATCTAAAAAAGCTAATATTCGAAAAACATTTGCTTGAGTATTTGCATGTTAATCAATTATGAACTGTGTACAAATAAATATTTAAAACATTTACTTTTTCCAAGTCTATACAGGGTTAAATAAATGTCTTGGTATCGGTTATCATGATTCACTGAACAAAAACTGGTTTATTTGCTTAAATCAACAGTCGTCTTTATAAGTGGTGGTTATTGATCCAGTAGATATTATTGTTTAAGCAAACATTCAAGCTGACCTCTAGGCAGATATGAAAGGAACAAATAAGGCAATAATTAAGTAAGAATGCTAAACATTCTCTATTATACAAGTAACCAATAGTGACTAGTGGGATTATTTAGAAATTATTATTTAAAATAAAATAGAAACGTACATATTAATATAACGATAATAACACATCATATGTACTTACTGACAACACACAAAAGAGTTTCCCTATATAACAATTTGCAGTGTTGTTTACCTTGTGAATATCTGTGATTGCTCACTTTGTGCAAATATAGGGCAAAAAGGTTCCCTTTTTTTCCCTTTACAAGTGCAATGGATTCTCGAATGTGTTCATGTAAAATTGCATTATGGCCCCCAGATGGTGCTAAGGAGCATAGGAAATAAGTTTTTTTTTCTATGCTGCTCATCGCCATCTAGTGGTCATAATGTGGTATAACATAAAAAAATACATTGCCTTGTATAGAATCAACTGAAGAATGTTCATTCTCGCATACAGTATATCCGCACAGAACAAACGTTAACAGATATTTGCAGGGTCAAGGGCAAAGGGCCCTTCAGATATTTTATAAACAGATTCCTATCTCTTTAACCACTTCAGTACTAGCATGTATATACACCTTCATTACCAGGCCATTTTTCAGTTTTCAGTGCTGTTATCATTTAACTGAGAATTACTTGGTCACGCAACTTTGTACCCAAATGAATTGTATATATTATTTAGTCAGTTAAAGCTTTCTCTTGGGGGTATTTATAACAAATGTGGTTTTTTTTTTACAATATAAAGGGAAAAAAATATTTGTCCCCTACATTCTGTTTGGAAAGCAGGCACCCCAAAGTGATCTAATTTTTTGGAAATGAAGAAACATACTAATATTGAGGGGGTTAAATAATTCCGTTCTAACCCATACTTAGCTATAGTGCAAGGAAATGCTGTTCATTAAGTCATTGGAGAATTCCTCTGCTCTTTCTGAACCATACAGGTAAAGTTACATGGTACCTCAAGTCCAGCAAGAATTGCAGGACAAATGTTCGTCATTTCAGTTGAGATAGAAGATGGTACCAATGAAATTATGTTTTCTCGCAGCTGCCGATCCATTTTTTTCAGAGATGAGATGACGGATTTGTTAGTCGCAAATTGGACAACACCAACATAAGCTGAATCTTCAATAATCTGTGTAAGGAAGACTTCCACCGCTTGATGTAGGCGGTCTAAGCGATTATTCTGGAATGCACAATTTATATATGTTGATCAGTATTACACTTCCTGGACTATCAGACTAATTTCTAAAATAATATAAAGGACAGGAAATGATTAATAAACCTGTTAGGATCAAATCCCACCAGATTATTTACTAGAGGTTTTTTTTTTTTACAAAATATTTATTTATTAATTTTCAGATTGCATCACACAAATACATTAAAATCTTACAGACAATTCCTTATTACATTATTTAAATAAATCATTCTACAATCATACATACATAGTGTGAATAATTAATCCAAATCTATTATTATAAAACAATACACCTTCCATACCCTTCCCAACCACCCCACAGAAAAAGGAATCAGAGTCTTAATTCTCACTTCTTAATAAATTATCTCTAAGAGTAGATCTACTGCTTCATCGATCTAATGTATTCCCTCCATGGTCACCATCTCTCCTCAAATCTTGTGTAGTTATCATATAATCGGGCCGTAAGCTCCTCCAATTGCATAATGTTATTAATTTTCGCTACCCACTCTACCATCTGGGGGACCTTTGTTGACCACCAATACCTTGGTATTATTGCCCTAGCCACTGCCAAAATTGGACCTATTAAATCATTTCTCATAACTGTAGTCAGGGTATTGTTTAATGATAACTTTTTAAATAAATGAATGTTAAGGTCTTTTTAAATAAATGAATGTTGAGTAAACTTCCACCAAAATGTATCAACTTTTCTACTTTCTCACAAAAATACACAAACATTTATAACCACTGGTGGAGCTTATGTAATATCAAATTTATCATATTATGTTGACTTTTTCCTCCAAACTTGTTAAAATCACACATATTTTATAGGATACCACAAATATTCTTAATAACATACAGCAGGGAGCGTTCTGTACACAGTGGGTGTGGCTTCCCTACATATGAGGGAGTAACATATTTTTGGCTATATCAGACCACTCTGACAATTGTGCAATGTTGTGTGAAGATCCAAGTCTGATAGAACAAAGGTACACTGCTAATTTCAAGGTCCAGCTTAACTTGAATCAAGGGAAATGGAATACTTATACCTGTTTCAAGAGATAAGTAAGCTACATCTCATTTACACTGGTGTGTTGCGGCAATGCACAGCAATGAGTGGCATACATATTAAATTGCACTCCAAGGCACCTAGGCAGCACAGCACAACACACTTGCATTGTAGGACATCTCAATGCACAGATGTGAACCATTTTTTGTTTTTAGGATAGAGTATAAAGGGGTCAAGTGTTAATGCTGTATGTTTCCAGGCTGGGGAGATTCACCCTCTATTCATCCTGGTGACCACTGTCATTGAGAATTAAATGAAAATTAAAAATTTGGAGTTGGATTAGGAAGATGGATTTAGGGGAAATCCGGCAGTAAGGACACTTTTCCTGATGACAACTGTCAACAAACTGGGATTTCCTTAAGACCCCTTTGACATGGACTGATCAGAAGGGGATCCCTGCACGAAACCTCTCCTGATCCTTGCAGTGCAGATCACATGTCACCGCTGTCTTAGAGAAAAGAACTAAAACTACAGGACCCTATGTTGGTCTATGGGGAGTTGGATGTAAATGGACATGTGTCCATTTACATCAGATTAACCCCAATCTGGCACGATCAGGTCCAGCAAAATGGAACTCTGTTCTGTTTGTTTTTCCAGACCTGGCCAGAGTTTGGGGTAACCGGGGGTAAACGGACTCCCATCTGCCCATAGACTAGCATTGGGTATCCAATCGGGTCTGCCTGAACAAATGTCAGGTGGACCCGATTGGACCCCCATGTGAAAGGGGGCTTACTTTGGAGAGATATCTTTTTACTTCCTGTTGTGTATACAGGACAGGAATATAAGGGACATCTCCCCTATAGGACAAGGGTTTTATCTATTACCTACTCTAAACAAAACGGAAAAAAAAAACAATTTTTGGATTAGATGCACTTTAAGTATAAGAAATAATAACACCAACTCTGATATACAGTGAACAGTCAGATTTGACTATGAAAATGAAACATGAGAAAGCCTTGTACACCAGAAAAAAATGCACATGGCCTTTGGAGAAATTACTTCTCTAATTTCTTTTTGTTTATTAATTTAAAAGATAAATTATTTAATAAGGGCCTTTATCAACATACCAGACTCATACTTCCAGACATATCGAGTACCAGAGTAACAATTCTGTCTTTGGACTGTAGCATTGTGACACTGGGCTCTGGAATACTGAAGGTAGGCCTTGTAGGAGTGGAGATGATATCATTGGAGTTCATGATTACTTCCCATGCACTGCGAGAGTTACACATTCTGTTCTGTAGATTTGGAGCCTCTGTGTTATGGGTGCTGGAATCACAGAATCCAGTTATCTGAAGAAAAAAAAAATGAACTCTCCTGATTACTGTAATATGCTATTAAAATACTTATGCTATATGAGAAGGAATATACAGGGTATTCCATTTATGATGTCACCAAAATAAATGAACAAGAATGCCCTGTGGAGTGAAGAAAGCTTGGACTTCAAATCAGAACCCTTAGGGCCATTTATGTCACAGCGTTGCGCTAATCGCATGACGCACTTTTTTTGCGTATCACACCTAGCATGCGTTACCCTGCACTAGATGCAGTGCATTACCGTTTATGTAAATGGAATCCCAACGCACCTTCTGGTCATAGTGTGATGTATATGTCTTTTTGCTCTTTTCAGTTCCCCTAATCCTCTTCACCTCATTTCTAAAGTGGTCTCTTCAGCATCTATAAAGACTCGTTGAAATGATCCCAATCAGGTTATGTAATTGTATCCAGTTTGATGTTTTCATGTAAGTCTATATGCTATTGTGTTTTGACAGTGGTGGGTGTGCTGCTGTCAGAATACCCAGGCAGTGACTGATGCTGGCTTGCTGCAGTCACAGTGTTCATCTAAGAATTTTTGGCCTGGTTCTTTGGAGAAACATCAATTAAAAAATCGACTCTTGTCAAATGGGGGTAGGGTGTGAAGGATTGGCAGCTGTGTGGCTCCACCCACACAGTCAAATCCTACATAGATCCTTTGACAGCCACTGTGGCAGAGGGACTTATAGTTCTCAAAGCAATACAAGAGCGGTGGCGTCACAACACTTGTAGTCCATTGACACTATCTCTCATCTATGTTTCTGAATGTCCATACCTCGGAACAGACACGGATCGGAGGAAGATTCTGCAGGAGTCAGAGCATTGCACCCGTGGTCCACTGATTGTGGTTTATAAAAATCCTCACCAAATACAAGCTTTATTACTTGTAAGCAACACACCAGAATTATGAAGATATTGCTATGTTCACATACTGGGGGAATACAGAGATTCACTTTGACTTTTTTTTTGAGTATTTTTAATGTTTGCAGTAGCCCACTGACCCAAATATAAAATGTGGGTATGACTCACAAGCTGGAAGATGCTGGGTACATCTGACGACTACAAGAATGTTAAGCTGCAAAGAATGTTTGCACAACGTGTTGTTTCTATGCATGGGAATGGAATGGCGTCATTTGCATGCTAAATGGAAAACACCTTTACACACCGAGGGCTTCTACCATTACTGAATGGAAGATAATTTTCAATGCAATGCTTTTAGTATTTAACTGTTTTGACTACTTGGTACTGAACTGATTACCAACTACTCACGTCATTCAAAGCCTGTGAATACATGATAGATTCCCGCACAAACTGGGATTTGTCTGGCAGAAATGCACACCCCTGTTCATAGAGGCCTGTATCAGGATCGAAGTTGCAAGACCGTGTTGGACACGATTCTCCATGGCATTGGCTGGTTTGGATAATGTTAACTCCAAATAAATCCACAGAACATCTAGCAAGTAAATAACAAAAAGCACACATTATATCAAGTTACAGGAAAGTAATCACTAAAACCCAGTGTTTCAATGTTCTGCCATTGGGGCTGATTGATGGAAACTAGAAGAAAGGATTTCAGTGGGAAGCCCTAACAAATTAAAGCATATCTAAACCCAAAACCAAAAATGCAATGTAATGCAGCTTACCAGTCCTTAGACGTGAAGGTTGCATTATTTTCCTTTTTTTTTCTTCTCTACTTTCATCCTTTTGTCCACGCTTATTTCTTAACTGCATCTATGGGGCAGCCATGGTTATCCCGCAGGCTGGACTTCAAACCTTGTTCATCTCCATTACATGATGGATTCAAGAGACTAGTAGTTTATACAATCGTGTTTTCTTTTAAGCTCACAAGAAGTGACTAGGACTCCGCATTTCAGGCAACAGTAACTTGCTGAAAATGCCTGAAAAATTAAAACGAATGCAGCCACCACATAGGACTAAGGACTAGTGTATTGCAATATATAACATTTTTGTTTTGGGGTTTAGATACTCTTTAATTCGCTCCAGTTTTATTTAGCAACTCCATCCAAATTCTTAATGTTCCTACTTGCCTACATGCTTCCATGCATGTTTTAAACAGCTTTACAGCCCTTAAAAGAGGCTTCTGGATACTATACCAGGCCAGGTATACACTGGGTTTGGACAGCTGCTTTACAGATTGCAAGTTAAATTCTGGCATCTTGCAGTATTCAGAGGTCTATATAATAGTGTAAACAGCCAAAAAAAACTGTTAGCATTCATATATAAATGACAGATTATCTTGAAAATATCCATAGTGGAATAGGGAACATTGGAATATTATAAATCCTACTGCAAACAAGCAGGACTGAAGCAAAGGAAGCCTATACTTCAATTTCATGCTCCTGGATTCCCTGGCAAGCATTTTAGTGTCACCCCCTCTGATGGTGTCACCTGGTGCGGGCCGCACCCCCCTTGTGACACCACTGCCATGGAGCAACCCTTGTGTGTGCTAGTAAGCTGTGTGTGTCTCCACAAACACACAGTCACAGCAAGAAGAGACAATCCTCTCTTCCCTGCTCCCCCTTCTCCTTCCTCCCTTCTCTAGGCTAGTAGATGGACAGCTGCTGGAGATCGTGCTGTCATTTGTGATCTAGTACCGAACAGGAAGTTCAGGGAAACCAAGCTGAGAGAGTTGGAGCCAGCTGTTTGAAAACATGATGACCGTGGGGGCCTGGGCAAAGATTTAAAGAAATACTATGCTGGGTTATGTATATATGTTTGATCTGTATTCATTATTGGCAAAAAATTTGAGTTTAATACTACTTTAACTTTTATAGGTTTACATTATATAAGGCATACCTTGTGGCTTCTATTTTGCCGTATTGTGAGAGATAGTAAGGTTTTTCATCATTGTATTCATCATACACACCCCATCGAAGATGAGCCCATTCATGGACCAATACTCTACCTAAAAAACAAATCTTTTTTTTTTTATTACTACCTTAAGAGATGTAAGATCATGAGGAACAGCTTCAGGTAAAATAGAAATTTGCATGAGCTAACAGACATGTGTAATAAAATACAACTCTGCTGATATTATGTAGAACCATTGTACACTCTACAGCCAAACGTATCTAGACATGTACTGTCTATACCCTTCATAATAGGATCAAATATACAGAAAGTATATTCTGAAAGGTCATTTTACACTAGCTAGAGACATGAATTGTACTTTATCCACTTTATTTTTCACAATTGAAAGAAGATTCTGTGAAAGGACATATGTATAAATCAGTGGCAGGCTATCTTCACTTAAGGGACCCCTACCACAGAGGTTGCTGCTTATATGGCTTAATAGAATATACAAGAAGCAGGCTGGAGGCCAGAAGAAATCTCCCACATTCTAGAATGCAGCTGTCATTTACATTTACAGGTATGTGTCACTGCAGTAAAAATGTCTTGCCTCCAAAGCAGAAGAAAAACTTGCAGCACCACATTCAAAACTAAGAGCTCAAATATATATATACAGTATATAGTCTGTCAGTGTAGGCTAGTGGTAAAATGACTGAACTGTTCCAATAAATTATATTCATTTCATAGAGATAATAATTTTTAACATTACCATAAAAACGGTCACATTACTAAAACAGGAAAAAAAAACAACTCTGACCGTGATGAAGGGTAAATCGTCTGGAAAGTAAGTGGTTAAAAAAGTTGCAGTAGTGCATAGGCACAATTACATCTAGGTATGAGGAAAACATTTTACAATATTATGAGGTAAGGGCAAAACACACTCTTGCCCCAGGTCTCCATTTCCGTTTGGCACAATTACAGATTCCAAAGTATAATTCAGTCGATATAGTTCACCTTATCAGTAACTCTGGACAGTGGACAAAACCAATTAGTACCCTTATAAAACAATCCAAGAGACACTGCACTGTGCTAAGATCACACATGGCATTAAGTTCAATGATCTGAAATAACTTCCCCGTACTTAATTGATTGTAACTTTCAGAAGGCCTCTAGGTGGGACTGCAGCCTCATGTCATTGTGTTATACTAGGGGTAAAGCAGGAGCATTCATGATTACATAAACACTGGTATACATTAGCATCATTACAAAAGAATTGTATGAGTAACAATATCTGAATAAGTAAGAGTATGAGTAAGAATATCTGTTCCAATAAAGCCAGGTTACTGGCAGCTAAAACATTTTGCACTAAAGTGCATTAACGTCTGAGCAACAAGAAATAAGCGTGTTTTCAGTGCGTTTGTGCATATTTTTATGCGTGTCATCACGCATATATAGAATCATGCATTATAATGAGCAGATTGCGGCACATTGATGTCAATGGACAGACGCGCATAAAACACGTCTAAAAATATACTTTTCCATTGTAGTCTATGGGGCCATGAAGAGCAGAATCTGGCAAAAAGTAGCTGATTTACTTGCTACAAGCGATGGGCGTTTTGCTAGAGTTGACATGATGCTCAGATGTGAACAGGACCATTGAAATAAATGGGGGGGTGCTTTTTTGGCATATTTTTGGAGCGCTTTTTTGAGCAGAAAAAGCTTTACAAAATGTGTGAATGAGGCCTAAAACGGGTGAGGGCTTGTGTGAGGTGTGTAGCGGCAGTGAGAAGAGGTGCCTTGCCTTGTTACAACAGAAGGCTCTCTTTACCTTTTTTTTTAACTTTATTGAAATGTCACAAAATGACATTACATTCATTTCTATACACTGCAGCTGAGTTGCAGTGATATGAGGTTAGATGTGGTGTGTGTCTGCATTTTTATGCAATGCATTGCAACCCACCTCAAGGAAGTATTGTGGTTTGAACAGGGCACATAGAAAACAACTGTTTTTAAATGCCTGGCATTGAGCTTGTGTTGATCTATGCAGATCAATGCTTCTCAAATGAAGTGGTGTGAACAAGCTCTATAGCAATACCAGGGGGAAAAGAAATCAGCAAAGTGCAAATGTGACTGTCATATAGCTTTAACTAAAGGCACTTAATTCCTTCATGATATATAGGTAGCAATGGCAGAGGCCTTGTGAGCAGAGATGAGCCTGAGCTTGGTGTGAACCCAGTTCACCTGAGTTCGCCCAAGCCTGCTCAAAACTGTGACTGCCTCCCCTCCTGATGCAACCAGTGGTCCCCGCCTCTTTGTGATGTATAGGCACAGGATACGGAATGCACCTCTCCACAACTGACTGGGCCAAGTGGAGGTGGGGGGTGGTTATGTCAGTCACAGTTTTGAGCGGGCGTGGGTGAACTCAGGAGAACTGGGTTCACACCAAGCCCAGTCTCATCCCTACCTGCGAGGCCCAGGAAGATAGGGGGTAAACAGGAAAATGTATATTAATTAACTGACCTATCAATTATAGATGGTAAGTGTAGAAACAAACGAACTATGTGCGGTAGAGGTCAATAGCTTTACTTTCTATGTACCTTATTTCATACTCATAAAGTCCTAAAGCCCCGCTTGTTACGTAAACCCAGAATAGTCTTAGCAAATTTGCTGATGTTTGCATGTTCAGCTTTGATGGCTTTATTACTTTGCTTTAGAAGCAAAAAAATACTGTCAAATAACAGAAAGTAAAAATGCAACTCTGCCATCTACTGGAACTTCAAAGGACTTTCTAGACTGTGCACTACTAGAGCTACAGGGTGAATATATAGTTAAAATGTATCTATACCCAAAACTCTTTTTTTTTTAGTTTGGACAACCCAGGGGTAAAAAAGTAAAAAAATAAAAATAAATAGAAATGAAAAAAAAATTAACAGCAACCCCACCATCCCCACTATCTGCATGCAAATGCAAACGAGTGCGTAGGGCATGCATGTTCAGCTTTGATGGTTTTAGTACTTTGCTTTAGCAGAAGAAAAATACTGTCAAATAACAGAAAATAAAAATGCAACTCTGCCATCTACTGGAACTTCAAAAGACTTTCTAGATTGTGCACTTCAGCTACAGGATGAGTGTGTGAGATAAAGTGTATCTATACCCAAAACTCTTTTTACTTCTGTCTTTTTAGCGGTTAGAGAGATATCTCCTCACTTCCTACCCTGGGGACAACCCAGTGTTAAAAAAGTAAAAAACAATAAAATAAATAGAAATAAAAAAAAAATGAAAAGCAACCCCACCACCCCCCACCATCTGCAAATAAATGCAAATGAGTGCGTAGGGCATGCACATATACTTAAACCGCGATTGCGCCGCACATGTTAGGTATCACCATAAACATTGGAGTGAAAGCAATAATTCCAGGGCCATAATTTATGTTTAACTCTAAACTGATAAGCAGTAAAGGCTTTTAAAGCGTTGCGTATGGACAATTTTGAGCACTATAGTTTTTCACCATTGCATGGTCGTGCACAGTTTTAAGGCTTGACATGTTTTACGTGACGTCTTTATATTTTACCAAAACAGGGTAGTACGTTGTATTTGTGTGCATTTAATTCATTTTAGTGTTTTTTTCCCCTAAAAATATCGATTTGATAGACATTTGTGCAAATATGGTGCAACATTAAAAAAAATGTAACTACCATTTTTTTTCTTTCAA